AATGTTTTATGAACACAGATAAAGAATGCATACGACACTTTTTGAAAATTTTCCGAGAAACTTGATTTAAAAACAAATAAAAATTGATTAGCAGTGTGTATGGAATATTATTAATAGTTAATACTTCGAAGCTTTGTTTACCATGTGAATTTGAAATAGCACCGAAGTAAAAAAGGTGAAAAATGAAAAGATGAAAAAATGGAAGACTAAACGCGAATAAAATGAGATTAAAAGCAGAGAAAAAGATTCTGAAACTTTGAATGGCTATCAATAATTGTTGAAAAGTATCAGATGAAATTAATGTAAATGTAAAGTTGGAAATCAGCACCTTTCTTAGAAAAAATGACCGAAGTAAATGAACGAAATGAAATAACAATATTGCAATATTATATCAACAAAAGTAAATCGGATAGATTTGTTAATTACGCGGAGCTTTTTTAATTAATCACTGAGCATAGCGGACAGCTTCCGCCACAGCACAACAGATCCGATAACTGGAATCAGATGAAAAGAAACACTCACTTCCTTCCGGACACCGAAATGGCTGCCAAATTTCCGTTTCACTACCACAAGCAATCACTAAATTGTGTCGATCACGAATTGCTATCTCCTTTGTGCAAAAGGTTAATACTGCAAAGTCATAATATTATGGTTACAAATTTGTCGTGATCATATCGGAATGGTTGCATCGAGACTATTCTTTTCAATGAAAAGTTCAATTTATTCATCACAGCTGGAAAAAAATTCAAATCTCAACCTTTTTCTGTCTGAGTTGGCCGTTTCGGTGGTGGTGTACGATAGAATTTTATTGGATTATAAACGTTTTCTGTAGTCTTCTCAGAATGGCTAAAGTTCTGGAATATGCAAAAGTTGAGGACATAACGATTGTGTGATTGTCGTTTCTATTTAAAATCGATATATCCAAAAAGGAAAAAATTATTCGAAGAGGATTGAAAGCTCTCCAGTTTTACATTTGTATGAAACCGATTAAAATTAAAAGGAAAATGGATTTTTTAATAGGAACGAAATTAAGATGTGACAGGATATCTGACCGTGGCAGGATATTTTAATTCATCTTCTTCATTTAATACTGTCGAGGATGGTTTCACCGAAAATGAAGTATACGCATCCACTGGGACTAAATTAATCTTATCATCATTCATTGGCAGCAATTCCTTGATTACATCTGAAATTTGTAATTTAAACTTAGAAACACAACTTTAGGATTACTGCTCGATATCAAACAAGACATTTTTATAAAAATAAACGGATATTAAAAGTCAAGATAAAGAATGTTAGAAGTATTGCAGGTTGTATCACTGATTTTAATGGATAGGATGACTGACAAACAAGTGTTGGCGATACGTGACTTTCATAAATCTTAACAACAGCTCTAAATCAGAAACTAGTCTTTGTCGTTCATGAAATACATAGCTTGACCACTGTCCAGTTGAAATACTTTTTTCACACTTAATTCACATCTTATTATGAGTTCCATTCTAGTCAACTAAATTCTGTAAACATATTACTCAAGCTTACTTTTAAAACAAATTCAGTATAACTAAAACGAAGGAAACATCCGCGAGAAGTTTAAATATCACAGGCTTCTGCCTTCATCATGCAATGAAAGAGTAGGATCTGTGCTTTATCATATTAGTGTTGCATATTCAAAAAATTTATGAAAAGCAAAAAAAAGAAGAACATATGTTTAATTCTGCTATTAAAATTATCATCATTTATGAGGAATCTTTAAACTGTTCCTTACCATCTCTCAATTCCTGATCGTTTTCCTGAATGTGTTGCTGAATTTTCTTCTTTTTTCTCTCCGCACTCCCGGAAACATTATTCTGGTTACCTGCATCGTACACTGTTGCTGCTAAAATAATATTTCAATAATAAAAAAAAAAATTGTAGTCCTAACAACTATTAGCTCAGGACTTTTTTCCCATAGAAAATTGCTCTTTAGAATTGCAGTGTTTGTAGATTCTGAAGTTCATTTTACACCTGCTGGAGCGTTCAATGGTTCATGATTTTCTGGTACATAAGTGCGACTGCCATCAGCAGATTTTTTCATCGGGAGGTCATATTCAGTGTAATCCATACCAACATCATCTGTAACACCTTTTTGATCATTTTATCAGTTGATCTATATTTCATTCAACTGATAAGTGTTGCCAATTTTCTAAAGAATTAGAACGCATTTTTTTTCAAGATACCTGTTGATCAAAAAATTCAAAGTGGTTCTAAATTGCAAATTTAAATCAGATAAATTGGTGAAATGATTAATAAATCAACCGATATTTTCGTCACCAAATGATGGGAAGTTAAATTCGTGGTCCACCTTGTTCGTTTGCTTGTTTGGAAAACCTTTGAATTCACTATATGCGACTCCAACTTGCTTCCGAACTTAACAGTTTTTAAGAATAGAATACATGCAGATTATTTTTTTCCGAAAATTTTCATTGCATTTTTTTCTGATTTCTTTCTTACAAACTGCAATTAAAAAGATATAAAACATAAATAAAAAAGTCAAGATGGTAAAAACTAACGTGATTTAATTGGAGCACGACGAATTTCATTTGAAATTTTGTATGAAAAGCCACCTCTTTCCACCGATGTAGTCATGTCGAGAGGATTAGATGAGGTAAGAGAAAAAGAATGATCTGATTCAAAAGCCTGAACAATTTATAATTACACCTCATCATAAATAAATCAACATCCTTCAACTGCAAATTTAGTTTAAAAATTTCAAACTCATTTCAAACTCCATAAAATATTGCTAAAATTATTTAACCTCATTATCACGCCGAGGATTATTGTGCTTGTTCTCGAATGGAGAATACTTGATTTCTTCATCGATGTGTGTTCTACTAGAAGAATCACGGCGCAATTGACCGCTGGATAAAGAATGGCTTTCTGTTGTATGTTCAGGTTCTTTAAGATGGGTTGATGTTTCTTTTAATTGGGACATATTCGAAGTGGTAGAAATGGTCGGACTTAACGTCTGTTTCATCCGTCGCCTTGTGCTTGTTTTTGTTGCAGACTGCTTGAACTGGAAATCACTGTCATAGATTTAAAATTTTTGATTTGAAACGCAGTTTAGAATTCTAAAATCTAAATTAAAATATTGATAGAAGGAACATTCTTCAAATCCTAAATTTTGCATATATGACATGGTTAAGATGTGAAGGTTGTCATTAGGATGAGGGAAAAGCGTAGTGATTAAGTATGAAATTATGACTCAAAAATTGAAACTGCTTTTTTTCAAACGGCAAATTTATTTATTAGTAAGAAAGGAAAACTCACTCTGCTTCTTGGAGTGGCTTCAGTATACTGTCCTTTAGAACTCAAAGGTTTCAAAAGAATTAGCGATGCAGAAGTTGTAGTTTGTAATGAAGATGCAGCAATGTAAGACAATAATGCTGTTGTTCGATCACGATCATTTGAAATGACTTGTTTGGGTGTAGTAGAATGATTCTGGAACTGTTTATATGATAGCACTATAATTTCGTTTGTACCACTTTTTCTTATTTTTAAATTTCATACCTAAAATTTCCATTCGTATTTGTCTGCAAAGAATTTCGAAATTCTATTTATAAAATGCAACAACCTGCGTAACGCCTATCGGAATAAAAGAAATGGTGGGTACTGCGGAGTTTTGCTTGTTTGTTTTATCGGTCATCCTGGAACTCTCAATTAGTAGGAAGAATATTCAAACGTGAAACAAATATTGTTTTAATTTAAAAATAAATAAATAAATAATGAGAAATTGTCACTGTCATGGTGAGATCTGTAACATTCAAATATGTTACCCGTTATCATCAGTTATAATGGACAATCTAACGGATCATTATTAAAATCAAATCCTAAGCTCACCAATCCGTAGTACTTCGATCTCCTTCTTTGACAACTCTATCCGTAACAGTTGAAAATTTCCCTCCAGATGTTCGTTGCACTTCCAATGATGACTCAATGTCTGTCAGAAATCATGAGTAATTTTGAAATTTCAAATTATAAAACGGAATATAAAGCTGGAAACTAGAAATAATGCTAAACAAAACTTTTTATTTTGGTCTCCACATGATGTTTAAGCTTTAATTTTGCAGAAATTATAGAAAATGTTGCTTCTGTTGCAATTACACTTTGCAACTTTTTCTTTTTGACAGAGTTTTGTAAATATTCTAATATTCCACTTAGTATCCCACAGACTTATGCTGATTTTGGATATTTGAATTATTACACTATTATATTCTAATTTAAGGAAATAGAAAACTGATACACATATATTGCAGTTTTTTTCAACTTTTTCAAATCAAACATCACTTAAGTAAGAAACTTGAGGCTGTGGAATATTTTTGAACCACAAACTGCATTACAATTTTCCTCTGATTCCTTATGAATTTTAGATAAAAAAATTGTGAATTGTCACCTTGAGAATGATCGTTCTTAGCCGATGAAAGAATGCTCATATTTCGCATATTCTGATCTTCAAAGTTGTGTGAGGAACTCGGTCGAAATATTTGGATAACGTGCTTGGTCACTGATGGTACTGTTGCAGTTTGTGATGTCACACGTCCTAAATGTTATATTTGTGGCTAATTAAAAAATTTTCTTCAGCAGGTTCAACAATTTTTACATATAATCTAGCCCTACAAATTATTGAACTTTCTTGAAAATGCTCGAGTTTCATAAATGAATTATCAAATAAACCACTCGTAGTGTGTGACTTCTTTTTGACCGCTGCTGTATTCGACATGTCACTTTCTGCTTCTGAAACATGATGCTCGCCATTCTTTGGAATTTCGATGGTGATAGCAGGTGTCACAGGTAAGTCATCGTAGATTAGACCTTTAATATGAATAGGCATAAACTAATGTAAGATTTTGAAGGAAGCCATGATTTCATTGAAGCTTAGATTTTAGACATTTTTAAGATATATCAGTTTAAAGCTATAAAACTTGCATGATTTTTAAAAAAAAAAAATAAAATATAAGCAAACCGATAGTTCTTGGAGTAAGATCGCAGAATCGCACTCTGTAATTATTCCCTTCGACAGCAATTGAATTGATAAGTTGCTTGTGGTGATATACTTCCGTCCGGGGATCGGATCCAATTGGTTTAGGGAACTCTTTCTCTCTACAGTTTGCTTCATCTCGTGTTCGTAAACGACAACACAGCACCTGTACCCTATACCACGAAATGATAATGCATCAAAAGTACTATTTTCCCTGAAGATTGCTTGTTACTTCTTCCAACACTACTAACTTTACCTGGTGTCTGACAATCTGGTAATACCAGATATGTATTCTCGCGGTCGACATGTATACAATGATTCTGTATCCACAACTGGATCAAATAAATGGCTATAGTAGCAGTCTTCTCGTTCCAATTCCATAATGCCTCCAGGAATATCATGCCATGGATATAGCTGTAATTAGGTTAACTGTTAAATTTTTAATTTGCTGATATATTAATTCATAATTCCAATCTTTGTCTTGCTCAAAATACCTGAAAAAGTTGGAAAACTATTAAAAAACTTCTATTTTGTAGTATTTAAACAAACCTCATCAACTCGCTCGCATATAATTGCGAAAACGATATCCTGTCGGATGAAACCTTGTGAGCCGACCATTCGTGCACTGATCCTTACGGCACCTAATTTATTTTTATTTTATTATAATAGAAATAATTGTATTTATCAGTTGATAAATGTGCTGAATAATCTTCTGTGAGATTATCGATTCTTTAAGTACCTGAGGATTTGGCGCATTCAATTCGAAAATTGTCGAAAGGTGCAGAAATGAGTGGATTTTGCAGAGTGCGTACAGCAACCACAAATGTCAGAAATAAGATAGAAGGCTTAATTATCATCATTTCTGCAAGTGTATACTTATAGAGAAAAAGAAAATTTTAAACTAAAATAACGGTTGTCGAGTGAATGAATCTTTTAGTAACATTAAATATGATCCTTTTAAATTTCCAGAAATAGACTTCAGGAATCTTCCTTTCTCATGCGTTCATTATGACAATATAAAACAACTTTCACATGTGAAGTTTAGATTGTTGTATTTTAATATTTCAATTATGCCAGTGCTGCCGAAATATTCAAAACTTACGTTTGTATTAACACTTATGAAGATAACAACTTATATTGGAGTAATAAGAGATTTGCAAAAGTTTTGAAAATATATATTCCTCACCATCGCTAATTAAATCTAACATATTGATATTTTAACAAGAAGGAATAGCGGCAAAAGTTTGCTGATTTCATAAGTGATTGCTGGAAATTATACATACATTCTTAATGTCCAATTGGTCAACAAAATCTGATGTGAGGTGCCATTTAGTATGATTCCTCAAGAGGAGTTTACGGTGTCACTCGTGAAGTCATTTCGTTCAATTCACATTTTGGTTAATTTTCCAATGTTACAGAGTATCTAATCTTAACCAATAATGGTCAGCAGTATCATCTCGATTTGCTTGCAGCTTTCTGTACTTATCTCGCCGTGCTTTATTATTACCTAACCATTATTCCAATGTGAGAAAATGTTAAGATCAGAAAAACTTGCTCGAAAATTCCAAAATGCATAAATCAGAAAATGATTTGGATTTGTTGTGCAGTTCTGGAATGCTGTTCGGAATATCGAGATAATGTGGAGGAAATATAAAATGAACTACTTTGATATTTCCCAGCACTCCTAATGAACTTCATCTGCAACTGTCTTGCACGCCGTCCTACATACCCAAATTTGTGTCACATCGAAAATGATTTGAAACTACTTTTTTAATGACAATGATTTAGTGCTCTTTATATATCAATATGAAGAAAATTGTCTTGCACGAGCATTTTAATGGTCATATAAATTTATTTTTTCGTTTGCATATTTTTTTTTTTTTGAGAGTATTTTCTTATGCAATATAACACTGAAACCGCTTACTGCAGTGAGAATGGGGTTCCGTTTTAATCGTTGCAGATAAAAAATTCACTCTAATATATTCATGTTTAATTCACAATTTTTTCGCACCCTTTTAATTCTAAGCTTTTCTTTTCTATGGATGAAGCTAGAGTTCAATTGAAATTCATCATATACGGTGATGATCAAACTATTTGCATGATATCTAGGGAAAGAGTGTTGAACAAGGAAAACTCAAGAGTAAAAAAAAAAGAATTACTGGTGATTTCCTTTTTGCCACAGATCATATAATAACTTATGGCTGAATTAACTCAACAAACTTTGCAAAAAATCCACAGATTTAATTTTCATCGTATTATACATAGAAAGTTAGGATTATTGTGTGTAAGACGATGGATTCATAAGAGTATTTTACACAGATAATAATATCCAATTGCTGTTTGATGGAAGAATGATTTAGTTAAAGGAGCATGAACCCCTCATAACTCACTTATGATAGATACTCCTTGCAAGTTTTCTCCCGGTTTTTTTTATCCATAGGTTATGAAGGCTCTTGAAGGTCATCTAAAACTAAAAAATTTTTCAGCCAAATGAAAAAATCCAAGAGTTCGCAATTTCATGTATAAAATCTGAGTATGCAATGTACATTGACCTTATTTTCTTAACAGCAAAACAGTTTGGCATAAATCGTTTTACAACGATATTTCTTTCTTTTAAGCAGTTGAAAAAGTTGAAATAATTATAAAGCTTGCAAATTTTCTAGTCGTTATGTAAACCTTACTTGAACATACATTTGCAAGTGCTAAACCATATTACAGTCCGTTAAAAACAATAAGTTTCTAGAAGATTGTGTCGAATTATATGCTGGGTACGATAATATGTGGAACCTCCTCAAGCAGACTTTAATATCACGTACGTCACGTTGGATCGTTCAATCCACTACAATCAGGTTACGCAACGACCTATTTCCCTCTTCATCATTACGTTTATTCTATACATATATATATATATACATCGAGAATAAAATTAGGAAAAAACACATCTATAATGAAAATAATGAAAATCCAAAGACTTGAAATATTTTAAAAAAGCATGAGATTCAATGGAAAAACAATAGTAGATGGTAGAATTTTTTCGAAAATGATTTCAACGGACTCGTACGTGAGTAAATGATCATCAAAAACATTGAAAAACAGGTTATTGCTCTCAAAAGAAACGTCGACATATATTATATACTAATACATATGTGTAAGAAATGTGCGGTATATCAACGGTCACTGGATAATCAGGTCGACCTCCTTACTTCTGCCTGTATGAATTGCTACCGAATAGAAGTGATGTTGTGATCCTCCTACATTAAATTCTCTTTCAGTGGAATTCATTGACAACTTTATCCATCCATTATTTAAGGGAACTAATCACGCAGAACTTATATTTTTAAAAAATGACTAAAATCATTTTCCGGAATGATCACTGATAACCTAAACAGAGACTACAATTGAGAGGTTGAAATTATGAATTTTCTTCAGGAGGTTAATATTCAATCGCATTCACATGCCATGTATCGAAAAGTAAACATTCAGTATGGTCCTTTCTGGTTTCATCCAATCTTGGAAAAAGTGTGCCTCAGGAATTGCAATTATTAGACTGGGTCAATGGACTAAGTTCGGGAAGTATTTTCAAATGCTTCAGAATTTAAAAGTTGTTTAAATTCTGAAGTATTTGAAAGTACGGTTACATGGAACATAAGAAATGCGAGAGTTTACATTGCAATGTGTTGCACTCACGTAGGTGTTCATCTTCAATCTAAGTAGTGTCTATGGAATTGACACTTTTTTCATACAAAAAGAGTGTGAAAGAAACTGTGGATGAGGATTTTGATATTCAAATAAATGATAAATCGTAAAAATAAAGGTTGAATTGCGACTGTAAGAAGTAAAATGAATTTCTATGAAGCGGCTGCAGGATCAGAAGAATTCGTAAGCATATAAATCATTAAAGGATGCATGGATAACAAGTAATTTGCAATACTGTGATAGAATATCGGTATCATATTTTAGTATATTTATTCCACATCTCCTGTTTTGAATAATTTCATCTCCGTCTAATTTTAATTCTGGACTGTGCTGAAAACCTTAATGCCTTCTAATTGTGAACTCTTCTGTTGTCTTGATCAATCATTGGAATGGTTCAATAATGTATTAGGTGTATTTTATACAACAAAACTTGAATTATTTCAAAATTAATGAACATTAATTAGAATTATCAACCTTAATAGCTGCTATAATTTTCAGAAATCATAGTTCAAGTATGTTTCTGCAGAAACATGCAATCTTTCGAAAAATACTGATGCGCATTCCGCATTCTTAGCGATTGCCAATGCCATATGATGAAATGGGTGACATTTCCGACGGTATGGTATGTTTCCATTTTCCATTACGTTAGCATGTTTTTAGTAGAGAGGAGAAATGTTTTATGTGCAAAGCGAAAAAATAGCTGTCAACAAAGTGAAATAAGTATACGTAAGGACTCATCGATTTTTCTTTGAGACATCTGCCTGAGTAATGTCATCAGACTGGAACAACAAAAGCAGTCTTTATGAATTATATAATAGTAGGAAGCCTTCACAAGTAGTGCTGATCTTCATCTAAAAAAACCAACTTGGAGCTTGTTCCAACACTTGCCCTTGGGATCAAATCATGTTAGCATTTCCAATTTTGGGGAAATTGAATGACAAATTTTGACATCCCATTCCGGTTCCAAATTTTATTCCTAAGGACAAATGATGCAAATGGGGACATAAAGAGGCACATACAAAGCGAAGCATTTTTACAGAGTGCGAACACTTCAATGTTATGTTAGCTCAGTTCTGGGAAGAATGATATCCATGCAAGTCAATGGTCAAAAGAGCAGCCGTCACTTAAATGGTCAGTTAACCTTCCCTCACTGCATAGAGCAGGTGAGGAGGTCGATGTAATGCGAAGAGAAGTTCATCTCTGCAGGTTCATATTCTATACTTATGTCCAGTTGATCGTGTCAAGCGGAACCAATACATGAGTGTAGCAGTACAGCAGCAAGTTATCCGCTGTACCGCGACCTTATCCGCTGTACGGAACGGAAACTTTTATTCGACGCCTCTTCCAATAACACCATCCTTTTCTTTCTTGCCTAACCCCCCGAATTCAGCTTACCAGCTATGATCAATAGAACCGGGACACCTTGAACGAAACACGCAGATACACAGAGATACAGACAAGCAGACACACACATACATGCGCAAACATTACACTGCCGATAGACACCGAAGTAAATTTCTCTGAACGTATCAACGGATAGAGAGAGAAAGGGGGAAATTCCCGACCTTCTGAAAAGACCACCTTCTACTCTCGTTTCTCTCCATCCAATGGATAGACGATGTTTCATGGATTGTCTCTGAGCTGATCAGCACTCTCTCGCAGCGGTCGACCGATCCTCCCGTCCCTTCCGCACTCACAACGCCACGCGGTATTTGCACCTCGTCGTGCCTTTCCTACATCGATCGATGTGCCCCTCTTCCCGTCAGCCATCCAAAGCGTCCATTCTTATTCTCGTCGTTGTCGTCGTAGTCGTAAGTAGCGGCAGTAGCATCAGCAGCAGCGACACAAGCGACACCGAAAGTCGCATTACCCATCAGTTTGTACGAGTCGACCGATACGCTTACTATCCCACCGGTTAACAACACGTATGTATTTTCCGCTCCCGTCTCATCCGTCCTGCCATCCGGAACTGTACATCCTTGCCAGTTATTGGAGTTATGGGCCACCCATTGCTTACAGTTGCTAATTATCTTCTCGAGATGGTAATTCCCGCTTATCTTTCTTTACCCTTCCGTAAGTAACTTCACGTCCATTTCTTATACGTTTTTTACGTGCATCCCGTCCACACAACTGTCATATTACTATTGGTGCTACGATTCGTTGAATCCAAAGAACTGTCTTTTTTTCGAAATGCCAATATTATTATATATGTGCATAATAAGCAGACGCTGTTGTATGTGCGTAACTTTCCTCCCCTTGTTAATGAATGCCACGTTACGCGTACATTCATTTCAATTTGGCTTATTTATTCCGCATCATTTTTTAAATTATTCAGATTTAGGATTTTGTTTCAAAATGAATTGTTAGCATCAGCTTTAACATCGCAAGAATGATTAATGAATGACAGTTTAGAAGAGATCCAACAACAGAAAGGATGGATCGTTTTGGATGATCAGTAGGGATGTATATGTGTGATTCATCCCATCCAGAACATGAGTATATCCTGGACTGCGGACTGCAACCTCTTACTTCCGGTATTTCCAGTGCACTTTTCCGAAAGATATTGCTCATCTTGATTGGTGAAATGTATACGTGGTTCACAGTAAAGGGATCAGCTGTTCTCTTCCTCCATTTTCTCCCAGGCAGGATGGATGGATGATGCATCATTCAGCAATTGAATTGATGATTTTTTCCTTTTTTTGTGTGTATCACTGAGTATTTGCTGGGAATTTCCTGGTGTCAATGAATTATGACTCATCGCCTGAGTACCATCAGCTAGTTCCCTTTGAATTAATGACTAAATGTGAAAGGATCACCCGGTCATCACCCTATTTCCATTTTGTTTTGCAAACTGGTCAGATCTCACCAGATTATGCTGTCTTTTCGTATTTCCTAAGTGCTCTTTCCGTATTTGAAGCTAATTACTCCGAAATGTATAACGCAGCGTACAAGACATTATATATTCCACTTAAAATCACCATTCTTATACTACTTGGGCCTAGATTTTCTTCCACAAGGCTTCATTATATTTGCACTGATTTATTAAAACAATCAATTTAAAAAGCGAGAAATCCGTGTAATTCAATAGGTCGCATATACAAATGTGCTTTATAGTTTGTGAAGAGCTACGCAGTCGAGAACGGAGTGGTCGAAACTGTCTTGCTCATTAATTATCCATATTATAAAATAACAGTCTCATCAGTGAAAACAGTTCAGCTGAAACAAAAGGACAGAAATAAAAGAGACAAAAAGTGAAAAGAGTTTTTATTAAAGTTTAATTTGCTTGAAAAAAAAGACATCATAAAAATCGGAGAACTGAATAACAAAAAGAAAGAACAGTCGGGAAGTACGCCCCAGAGCCGGTAGCATTTCAAGGACAGGCACTTGCGGCAGTTTAAAAATGTTATTCTGATCATGAATGCATTTTTGAATATTTCCCCGTACCACTATCATGATTACATGTATAAACGGTTTCAGTTTTAATATTTTTTGTTATTACTAATTTCCTATATCTGATGGATTCCCATATTCATGGCTCTGTTGCACCTTTGCTGAATAAGAATTCAGTGATAATGTGGTCATGTAGCGGATGCATGGATTTTTTCTCATAACCTTTACAATCCAGTGTTTCATTCCGGATCATGATCTCAAGAAATCCATGAAGAATAGGATTGCTTTGTGAAAATTATAATTTTTATGCTTTCTTCAACAGGTATTTAGCAAGTTTAAGTTGGCGAGAAAATTTCTTGGCTTTCCAGACATTTTTTTCAAAATGCTTAACCAATTTTTTTTCCTGTATTCCAATGCTTTCTCATCTCATATATCGAATCAAAATGTTTGGAGCATTCATATCCTTTATCGGAACTTTATATATCGGTTACGTTATTTTTCGTTCTTTCTAAATGGCATTCGAATTTTAAATATTTGAAGCATACCCCGAATATGTGATCCGTTTATTGTTGTACGACGTTTGGTCAATGTAAGATTTAGAAAAATTTGGCTGAAATGGAAAAAATTTTTGCTTACCATGTGTGCTGTATGAAATTGTGTTTGCCCACGCGTACAGGAAAATATGAGTGCAACGAAAACATTCACGATGAATCATAATTCTCTCCCGAAATGTAAAATTTTAACAGTGGTCATCTAAATTCCTCCATTCTTTCTTACACGTCATTCCTCAGGCATCCGCTTTTTCTTCTTTCTATGACTAAACTTTTTTTTTTTCTATAATATATATAACAGTGATTTAATTATCTTGGTAACTCATGCAATAAAACAAGTGAACATTTCCTTAAAGACTGAAAAAGAAAAATGAAACTTTTACAGTAGCTATAAAAAATGAAAAAATCCAAAAATAAGTGAATAAACCTTAAATACATGCTTTTCTTATCCATTTTTTTTCTGGATTGACAGTAAAAACTGGAAACACTTAATACTTAACAACAACTTTTCTTGCTATAAAAACATAAATTCCCACTTGGATCATTCCGTAGCACGTGAATTATACATCGTTTATTGTTTTATTTTTAACATTATTATTTGTGATTAATTAATTAACTACTAATTAATTCATTTGATTTGGAAAGTCTTCTAAATGAACTGAAATATATGGTTATTAAAGGAGAACTAGTGAAGTAACAGTGAAGAGTGCATTTTAAATGTATAAGCCATTCAGTGAAAATGATATAGATCGAGTCCACTGAATTAAAAATGTATGTGCATGTTTTGAGGTTTACTTCACTACGTTATGAAAATCTTATGCCAGACAAGTTTGTTTAAGTCTTTTATTAGTTGACCCTTCTGTAATAAAATATTTTGAAGGTATTTTGTGTGAGAATTATAAATATTGTTATGGATTTGATAATGAATATTTCAAAACATCGGGCTAATGCTATGCTGATAGAAAATTTATGTAAACTTATTTGGCGTGACATTTTCATAAAGTCATGAAATGAAGCTATTGAAGTTGTTAATGTTAAAGGGTTTAGTTCGTCATCCCATTTATCTAAAAATCATGTGGAGTAGTATGAAAATTTTTAAGATGCAAAAGGCTTTTTCAGATGTAGAAACGCACTACTGGTACCAAAGGTGTGAATTATCATCATTCGGTAATGAAAAAGAATGGCCACATTTTTCGGATAGTGAGTTGATGAGGAAAAGCAGCTGTCCCCTTTGTTTTTTCGACTTCGCAGTTTGAATTGTGTAGCACCACCATCATCACACAAACAGTCGTTTTGTTCACATTTAAATTCTGTCCCCCCTCCTCTCTCCCCCTCCCCCTCTCTTCCCAATCATTGCCTCAATCACTCTTTCTCCAACTTTTTTTTCTTATTGACAAGCGTTTCACATAAGGTGGTAAATTTCTTCATGTTTGATGAAGTCTTTCTGATAGATAAAATTCTGTTCATAGCGAGTTTTTGATAATAACCGCCGTCTTTTTGCTCTTTTTGCGTCGTTTTCACGTAAATCAAATAAATCTTTTGGATTTCACTTGCGGTCTAAGCAATGGGCGCAGTAAACTAATGGACCAGACAGCTGTATCATATGGGCCATCAGGGGAAGTTGATTATATTGAATGACCCAATAATTTCATCGTTTTCATGTAGGCTTGGAATCATCGCTGTAAGATTTTTATGAATTGCTTAAACCGCTACGGTTGACGCTAATAGCTTATTATGAAGCTACAGAGTTTTCCCGTTATCTTCATTTATTAGAAATCCTTGCTTTTTTTATCCTTTCTGAATTATGTAATCTGAATATAATGCAAAGTACCACAACGATTTATCATGAAAGAAGATAGGTTTGATGTCATAATTTTTTTCCGTGAGATTTACGTGATAATGAAAGAAAGCTTTCGCTTCTTTTGCTAAATCTGAGTCATTTTGCTAGCAGTTGAGCACAAACAAATGAAGTATCGAATTGTTCTTTAATAGTCAATCGAAACCATTAAAAATTAACCATTATTAAAATAAGCAAAAGATCACTTTCATCCAGAAAATAGATTTTTTCACGTATAACTGCAAAATAGTTGTCGGCTTAATAAATGCAAGATATTAAAAGAATGCACACATATATGGATCTGAAGTGAAAAATGTTCCATAATTTCAATAATTAATTGTACTCTTGATTTAAATCCAACAGTTAATTTCTTTCCATTCTAGTCATTGATATCAAATTCGGAATAATGGTTGAATGAGTAGGATGAAGTAAACGTATTTTTTATGGACTTTTGTTTTGGAGCACAGTGTCCAGTGCATTAATCACTAACTGATAACTTGAAATCCAAATCACAAATTTTTAGTACTCAGTGGCATTTGGAAGTTTTCATTACAGCTACATCGATAGGAAAAAATATAAAACTGAGGAATTAGAAGCACTGGAAGTCGTGTAAATTTAAACCAATTCGATGCTTTTAATTACAATTATGTATATTTTTATTCCCAAAAAAAAAGTTATGTATATTTTCATTCCCAAATTCAGCAATGATTTGTCATTGATTTCGAAATATTAGTTATCTTTAAGTCAGTAGTAAAGAACAACATGAACGATAGTGCATTTGGCTTAATCATTTTTTAATTCTGCTTGAACTGTTCATCCTTAATTCCATTGTTACAGTGTGGTGGTATGCGAGAGTTAGAAAGTAATGAAAATGACAATAAATCTCGTGATAAGAGAAAAAAATATATACCGCAATTCTTACTATTCGGTGAAACTGGTTGATTGTCAACTTTTTTTTGTTGATATTTTATGCATTTTTCATGGAAGCAATGTAAGTGGTATTTTAAAAAGCGAACCTTATAATGGCAAAAATGCTTTTCATTTCAATTTTAATAAACATTCACTTCCATTTTCAGTTGTTGCGAAATTTATTTTTTTAAATTGAATTACTAGTCTGGGATTCTGCGGTGTTCTCAACTAACGATAGCTGAAAGAGTTAAAACAGACTAAATTTGCTGCTATGGATATTAGAAGAGATAGTAGAAGGATGATATCAATAGCAGAAAAGCTTCGGGAGTTTAACACAGAGTTAACTGTTGCTTGATGTATTTATTCTCCTTCCTAGCGCACTTTCCTTTTTCATCTTTCTGTTAAG